CAACAATCTTATCTCAGGAGATTCATCGAAACCCAATTTCTCTCCGTATCTACATGGTAAAATAACTGCTATACAACGAAAGGAGATTGCGGCCACACAAAAAGCTACATCATCTTGGGCTTCATACATTAGAAAATATTTTACCTAAAATAACATTTAATGATGCGTTGAAGCTTTAAGAATGAAGTGTATAACTTTATTCCTTGTTCGAAGATATGAAGACCAAGATGGTGTGGCCTTTTCCATGGTCGCAGTCTCCTTTCGTTGTAGAGAAGTTGTTTAACCTTGTTTTTGCAACTTGGTCATATTGTTAGGGAGACTTAGAGGAACGCACCTAGTCTTGAGTCTATTGTATGCATGATAATATCCAAATTCGGACCGTGGACGTGGTACATTTACAGACGTTTTGCCTGCATCGTAGTCGGCATTGTCAGTGGGTCTTGTCATTCTTAGCACCATACTACAACTCGTCAAAGAGACAAGTGAAGCCGATCCTTTGTCTAAAGGTATGCTAACTAGTTGTGGTGCCGGCGAAACGTCTGGTAATGTACCACGTCCATGGTCCGACTTTGGAAATAATCATGCATACACTGGACTCCGGACTAGGTATTCACTTACATAGTTCATGAAGCATAAATTTGTGTATATAACTCTTTATCTGTATTAATACATGTACCAGCATTTATATATAATTCTTGAGTGCACTTTTGACTTTATTTTAAATTGAAATATCAAGTTCTAAAGAATGTAGTGTTATGGTTGTGTAGATAGCAGGTGTACAAGGCTAATCATTGTATGTAGGTTAGTGATGAAGATGAATAAGCAAGAAAGAGGGAGCTGGAGATAGGTCTCTAAAAGAGCTTGCTGCAGCTGTTTGGTTAACATGGAGGCGCCAACGTATAGGACGCTGCAGAGGCAGAACATGGATATGTGACTTTGATCTGAAGTCGGTCCTGTGGCAAAGTAGCACTACTTCTGTGGGGTAAGTGTAGTCTTTTAGGTATGAAAGCAACGACATGGTCGCTGGAAGAATTTCTTCTTAGGTAAACTTTTCTTTAGCGTGGTACTCTTTACACGAAGTTCCGACTAACTTGCACGATCACGAATCCAGAATTGGAGAGGTTTGGCTTAGGAGAATGCGGCAAACATATAAGAGAGGCGCTTGTTTGACCTTCGTAAAGATAACGGCTGGTCGTCACTGCGCGGTGCTCCAGACCGTAGATGTGACGGGAGTCAGGTCTTTGCATGAATGGAACTTGAAGGTAAACCACTGATGTAGGAGCGAGCAACAACGGCATGAAATTACTTTCCTTCCAAAATATCTAAAAAGCGACACTAAAAATTAAGACAATCATTTAAATTTATATCCGGTTAGATCCTTATGTCCCTCTTAGTTAACTTCTTATGCGTGTATAAATATGCAATATTCGCAGCCTCTTATTCTTTATTATTTTCTAAAGAAATTAATCGTTTAAAATACATGTATAATTAGTATATTGTGTGCTAGCTCCTCAGATCTTAATCTATTCTGCATCAGTTATATAATTCTCTTATCGATTCAGCCTTGAGCAAACAAATGTGTCTACATTAGAGGACCAGATATGCATTAGTGATTTTATGAAGGATGAAGAAATCCTCTCAACTGAACTATCAATGCCCCACCCTCAACGCCCCAACCCAGGGATACTCTGCGAACGTCTGGCGGATCAACTAATCGGTCAGGAACTAAGATTATCATCAAGTCTTGCTTTTGTAGACACAGATTTACCTGATTCAGCTCCCGACCTGGTTTCAATTGATTCAAATGATGAAATTTTCACGACTTCAGAATTGGCAATTGGCTTGGAATCCACTAACTCTCCTATAACACTTGATCCTGACAACAACTGCACAGCGTTCAGTACAAAAACGGGCCTTCTGGCTATAAACCGGGCCGCACTTGTGTCTTGGCTTTCATGCTTTCTTGCCCGTAGTCCTGGCCAATTTCTTGCCCAGTTCGCCAGCCAATTGGCTTGGCCAGAGGATGGGGCGCAGTTTGCATATCGACGCGATGATGATTGGCTAATCGACTTCCATCTGAGGCGTTGGTACGACCCAACGACTCAGGCCAGTCATAGTCATAACTCACTGCAGGAATTTCCGCAACAATTTCACCCACAAAGCGATTCCCAGTTGAATAGACCTCAAAGCGATCTACAATCGGTTCTTTTGCAGCAAGAGTCAAAGCCTCCAGCCCCCATGGATTGTCATCAGCTCAGAACACTCACATGTGCAGTGTTGCAGACAAAAAGAGTCCGCAATAGGCGCTTGCGGGTATGAGCTAATCTTGCACATCTTTATGTTCCAGCTTATTTTTTCCCCTCGGAATTCGATAATTAAATCTACTTCTGTATTGATGAAATCTCACTATAGTTAGTTATACGAAGTTCATGTTAAACTTCTGTGATGGGATAGTCGATGTTAAAATAATATTCTGGTTTAATTGATCTAACAATAATGATTTTAAAAGGACACCAACCAAATAAATCCGCATATGTAGAAGAAAAGTCACCATTATATTTGATAATCAACACATCTATTTTGCCATTTTTGATTTTCGTTTTTTATTTGATATTTTGTCTCAATCGCTCCAGACAGTTGCCCCACTATTATCTCCACGCACTTACTAAACATACTTCATAATTGTAGGTGCAGGAAGAGTCGATTATATGAATGCATTTGCTATTTTATCAGATTATTTTCCTCGCTTTAATTTTGAGCTGACTCCGGCATAATGCTTTATTCGAAGGTATGAAGACCAAGATGGTGTGGCCTTTTGTGTGGTCGCAGTCTCCTTTCGTTGTATA